TAATTACACTTAAATGTTTAATATATTTTATCAATATTTTTAAAAGGTAATTTTTTTTTAAATTGCATCAGTAATTTATTTTGGTAAAAATTCAATTTAATTTGCAATCAAAACACACAAAAAAGAACGCTTATTATATTTTTTTCATAATTTTTAAGATATTATTAAATAAAGATTTTTTGTATTTAATGTTAGATTTGTTATTACATCTTGATTTAATTAAATATTTAAATTTGAAATTCAAATATAGTAAGATTAGAGAGAAATAAATGTATTTTCAAATAATGATGATTTATTGTTGTCAAAAAAGAAAAAGTATTTTAATTAAATTATGATAGTTAAAAATAAGTTCTTTGTTGATAAAAAATGAGTTAATTTAAGTTTTAGAGTAAGAATTTACAATTATTTATTATACATTTGCTTATTGTGTAAATTTTTAAAATTTCTAACTACTTTTTGTAATATATAAAAGCTACAACAATAGAACTTAATTAACTTGAAAATCTAAATCCTCCAAGTAGATGCAAAGTAGATTAGTTGATTTATAATTTTAATTCATATCATAAACAAAGCTTTAGACTATTTAAGAATGACAAATTCTAATTTGGCATCCATTGCATTTTTACTGAAATCCTTATACAATTATTGAATAACCTAAATTGTTACCATGTCTTAAAGAAATAAGGATTGTTTTCCTCTTTGTTGATTTAAATCTTCCAAGATTGGCATAAGAATGAAATTTAAATTTGAAACTAAATTCTAGAATTATATTTTTATATTGCAAAATTTAAAGATTAATAAAAATAATGAATATTATTTACAATTTTATCTATCTTTTGGATAATCTGAGGTATCATTAAAAACTATATTTTAAGATTTCAAAGGTTTAATAGAAAATTTTGAGGTTATTAAATTTTAAAAATTAGGTTTGTTTATGGAATACATATTTATTTATAAGACAGATAAATTCAATTTCTTTAGAATAAACATTTCCTCCTCATTTTTCATTATGAATATAATTTAGATGGAAATATTATATATATAATATTTTAGATTGCAATAAAAACAGAAAAAAAATCAATGATTTAGGATCTTAAGGAGTTTCAACATTTGTTTTTAGTGAAATTTTCAATTAATTTTAAAGAATACAATTGAATAGTTAAGCTAATGATGGAATATAAAGATTGGATGCATTTATAAATATTTTATTAATTAGAATATTCATAAATTCAAATAAATTCTATAAAGTATTAGCAGCTTATGATGATATCCTTATTTTGTAACTTAAAATAACTGGGTTTCAAGAGAAAAAATAGCCGTTTCATTCTGCAGTTATTAGACGTGTACAATAATAGTTAAATAATCATATATTTAACCTAGTCAAGATTTCTATTTTAATCAATAAGAATTGAAGATGTTGATCCTTCGATTATTAGAGCATAAAAAACTCAAACCCACTATTTAACAAAAAAAATCTGGAATACGTTGGAAATAGATATCATTGATAAAAAGGTAGTATGTCCTTAGATATTGTGATTTTTATTATAAAGTACAACCATAGTTTCTATTGTAAAACTGTTGGTTCTAAAAACTTGATATGCAGCTGGATAAATTACAATTCTTTATGAAGAACTTCAAGTATGAAGATAATATACATCAAGTGTTTTATGATTTGTCAATATCATGGTTAAAATATGAATTAAGAATATTAATCAAATTTAGGTTCTTTTTATATTAAATATTATTAATAAATTAATTTAATAGAAATATAAATTATAAATTAAAATATTAAACAATGTAAGGAATGGAATACTAGTCTTTCTAATATTATTCTTATGAAAATAGAAATTCAGTAAATGAGATTCTAAAAATTTAATCCTATTGGAATTGTAAGAATTTATTAAAATGAAAAAATAATTGAATATCAGATTGATATATCTAAATGTCTGAGATTAAATGATTTAATCTATATGATTGTATATATATTATATATTAAGTTTTATTTGACTTATAATTTGCAAGAATCTTTTTAGAATAACTTTTAACTATATTTCTTAATTTAATAAGAAAATTCATAACATTACAAAGATAAATATAAAATTGATCATTAATATCTAGATTATAATAGAATTTGGTTAATTTTTTAAGATTCAATAAAAGATTCAATGTTTATAATACTTAAATTGAGTATTCAATTGCATTTACTTGGATATTTAATGTTAATTATATGAGGAAGGCAAAAATATAAATATTCCAGCAAAAGATAAAATTTAAAGAATTATTAAAGACATTTTGAATGAAATTAAAATTAAACATATATATTTTAATGATTCTAATTAATATATGATTCTATTTATAAACATTTTAAATAAACACAAATATAATAGCAAAGAACAAAATATTAATTTAGATGACTTAAAAATTATTAGAAAATTAATTGATAAACAAAAAGTATCAAAAGCATTCTCTGAAAAATTTATTAAAAATCTTATTGAAAATTTAAAAGAAGATGCATAATTACTTCTAGAAAGTATTCTTTTAACTAAGATATAGTATTTAATTACTATTTTTGATTAAAAAAGTGTTGTATTAAATATTATATAAAATTATATTAAATATGATAAATTTGATAAAGATAATGAATTTTAAAAATAAATGAAAGAATCTTATGAAAATAATTAGAAAATATAAAAGAACAATGGCATAAATTATCATATAATAGATGTTTAATATTATTTTATAATTGATGGAAATATTTAATTTTTAAATTTTAGAAGAAAAAAAATAAAATATTTTCTATATATTCTTAAATAGAATTCTAAATTTAAATTTAAATAGCTACTTTTAGAATTCTCCATTTTATTCTATCAAAAAAGTTAATTACATATTCAAAAATGTTAATTGAGTTTAAATACCTAATTTTTCACAGAAATAATTACAGAAGAAGTTGAAATGCTTATTTAATATAAAATATTGTTAATGATTGATGAACTAATTTGATATTTTAAATAAGTTTTTGATTATGCCAATTAAAAAAATATATTTTAATTTTATAAAGCAATGAGAAAAACATTTTATTATTGAGAAAAGCATAGATTTAATAGTGAATTTCAATCATTATTATTATTATTGAATATATTAAACAATCAGAATGAATCAAAATATCCAAAATTTGATCTTCATTTTTTCTAGAGAGGATTTTACAAATCATGATTAAAAAAATAAGATCCAAATCTGCAAATGATTATACCTATAATCATTTTCTCAAATATCCTTAGTTCAAGAAAAATGTAATCGCAAGCAACTATGCTATGATAGGAATTACTTATCCACATATTTTAAAAGAAATTCATGATGGAAAATAGGTATCGAAAGATCTAGAGCCTATTTGTTGGAAGAAATTCTAAGAAGGAAACTTGATAAAAATTTGATGAAGAGAAGGTTTAATCTTTTCTTGCTCTAATATTTTGGAATTGAAACTTCTTAAAATGAGTATTTTAATTTCAAAACTCTAAAATAACATTTTCAGAATCTTATTTCTTCAGTAAAAATATAGCTTGTATTATATTACATGGAACTTAGATAGTTTTAAGTAACTTTAACTTTTGTTTTGCAGAAATTGTACTTTAAGGCTAAGTAAAACTGGTTATTTTAGTAGTAGTAAGGGTTTATATTGCCATATGTTTTATAAACGGTACTTTTTTAAAGTATAATTAAAATACTAATTTAGCTGCAAGAGATAGATAACAATAATATTAGTAGAAATGCAAATTTTAAAATATGCAAACAAAATTTTATTATCTAATTTTTCAAGCATCTCAAAAATTATTAAAAATATTCTATGTATGAAACATTATTTTTCAGAATACTCTAATAAAGAGCTTCATGAAATAATTAAGAAAGAAAAGAAATTTTTATAAAATAGAAATCAATTTAGAAAATTAAAGAATTTAGAGTTTAATCTGGGAAATATGTGATAATGCTTTATAGCATTTCAACAATGTTATTTTTAATCAAAGTGATCATATAAACGATTTTATATATTAGTTTAGATAACCAAATAGTTAGCAGAGAAAAAATTTTCATTTGTTAAATTATTCTTTCATTATATCATTATTTTTCATAATTTTAGTTATTTAGGTATTTAGTAATAATTATATAATTATCAATTATGTATTTAAAATATTTTTGCATCGTATCAGTTAAACTTATTATATACTGTTGTACAATACACAAGATACTTATTAATACACAAAACTTATATAGAAGAATAGAATTAAACATTGCTATCTTTCCAATCTAATCTTTATTTTTTAATAGAGGATTTTGCAGAAAATTCTTCCTATTTATTATCCTCAATTCGATCTAATTTTTTCTTTTTTAACTATTATTATCCTAAAAAAAAACAAATTTTTTGGTAAATTTTCAATCATCAAATTTTAGTGTCTGAATCCCTAATTATAAGTAATTATAATGTATTATATAATCTGGATAGTATTTAAAGCAACTTGTATTTTTTTAAATATATGGCAATTATTATTTTTATTTTATTTGCAGTTTTAGGTCTTACTTGAAAGCTATTTGCCTTTCTTATTACATAATATAATATTTTGGATATCATTCAATTTTATGTATTTTTTTTGTAATCTTTTTTACTATTTAATACTTCGTTCACCTATAAAAGAATTCATTTTAATTAGATTATTTTTTATTAATTGGCTTTAGTCAAGTAAATATATTTTTAGTTATATTTTTATTTGTTTAACTTGAAATATTATAACAATATTAGATTTATATGGATGTTCTAAAAAAATTAATTTTTTAAGAATGATTTTATCACAATAATTAGCAGCTTAAATAGCTTCTAAAGATTATATTATAATTTTATAATAAATTTAAATTATTTAATAATTATTATAAAATATATAAATTTTATAAAAAATTCTTTAAAAATAAAAATCATATAAGATTAAACCTTCATATTTTGGCCGTTTATATTAATAAAAAATGATATTAATAAGAAATTAAAATCCTGCTAGTGAATACATGCTATAATTACTAGTTAATTTTGAAAGTTTATTATTGTAAATTTTAAGTTTAACTTTTAAAATAAATAAAGTGTTCATAAATTAATACTCAAAAATATTAAAGTGAGGATATAATTACTTTAGATATTTCAATAACATGATATACTACGAAAAAAATAACTAACACTTTAAATGAATTTAAAATTACCTTATTTTTATTTAATCTCAATAATCTAAAACACTTAACTTAATGGATGATAATTCAAAGATTTTTTTAATTGACTTTATAATTTTTTTTCAGAATATAAAAACTTTTTAAATTTATTCGTAGCTTTGAGCGCAAATTTGTGTAAACTAAATTGATATTGATGAAACCTTAAATCGTAAACTTTGATTGAAACCTTAAAAATTTAAATAATTTTTTGAATTTAATTACTTCTTTTGATTATGAATAAAAAACTACAGATCGAATTTTAATTATTATTTAAAAATTTGCAAAGTGCAAATTTATGAATAAAACCTGTCGCTATTTATAGTTTAATTAACCATTACATTCATTATGATTTAGATACAATAATAAAACAACCTAAAACAAAACATTTACCAAATGATAATAATTTGCATTTACCTGTTTTTACGATAGATCTATTGAATTTATTGTTTGATCAGCATTATGAATCAAACATAAAGAATTAAAAGTATAATTTGTACAGTAACCTAATTTAATACAACAATTTAAACCATCACTTGAACATTATACAATAGAATGTATGCCTATAATCACATGTAATTAATTAAACGAATTTTATATTGAAAAGATGAAGTATTATATAGGTAAAGCTTGTCTTAAGATTAAGGTAACAAATGAACTTATTGAAACTATTGCAATTAAATATAAATTGCAAAAAAAAAACGAATCCTAAACGAATGTTTGGAATTCATAGACCTTTCCAACTTACAAAACATAGATTAAACTAGCTATATTTAGTAGAGATTTGATGGATGACTATGTGTGTATCGATATAAATCTTAAGAAGGAATTAAAAATTATAAATGAATTTAGAAACAAAAGAGGATAATATAAAATAATATAGATATAATTATATCTTTATTAAAATGATATAGCAGTTTACAAATTAAGCATTATTTACATTTCCTTTCAAAGGTTATTATTTTTGGCAATACTCAAACAAATATGAAGAACTTAGAAAAAATTGAATATCACTAAGTCTTTAATTTTTGGATAAGTAGAACAAAATTCAATTTATATTCAACTTTAGATCTCTTAAGAATTTAATGAATGGAATAGTAAACTTATAAAGATTATGTATACTAATCTTCTATTACTAAAATGAAACATTTGATAAAGTTGAAATTTAAAATTCTCTTATGTTGTTTTAATCTTGCAATATTCCTATTTGAAATAAATAAATAGAAAAGTAGAAAAACTCAGGGAAATTCAATTTAGCTTGTAAGCTAAACGTGTAATAAATAATTAACTTAATTTTAATATAGATCATTATGTTTATTATATAATAAAGGCAGAGAGTAGGTGATGTTTAATAAGTATCTTATAAAAAGTATAAGAAGTTGCTAATTGGTCTAAAAAAAAGATTCAAACTTTTCATTTATATATAAGTATAAGAAGTCTAAAATTCATAAAAAGTCAAAAGAACTATTAAAATAACAAATAGAGTTTAGAAATTCAAATTTAAACTTCTAAGAAAGTATTGAAAAGATAGAAAAATTCAATAAGTAGAAGATAGATAAAATAAAAAATTTACCAAAAGATGACATGTACTAATTTATAATAATGTATATAAAATTGAAAAAGATTCTTTAAATTATTTTAATAAAATAGCTTGGTTCATCTTAATTTGATTAGTTTATTATTAAATAAATAAATATTTTATTAAAATAGAGGATGGAGTTAACAGCTATTCAAAGGAAGTTATTAATAATTACTAATATAAAATCAATACCAAATAAAGTATTGAGAGCATAATTTAAAATTTAGGATGTATAAAAAAGGCTATCTTGGTTGACTTGAACTAAAGTTCTTTAAATGGGAGTAGATTAACTTGTTATGATTGTATTTAACAATATCAAATAAAATATACATCAATAGAAAGATTTAAGGAATTATGAAAAAATAATAAATATTAAAAAAAAGATTTTGATTGATTATTATATAAATTAAAAAAAGAAAAATAAAAATAATAATTTAAATAATTAAAATAAAAGATCATAAGAGATAATAATTTTATCAAACCAGCATTTAGATAAAAGATTTAAGTGATTGAATTTACTCAAAAGACCAGTTATCCAAAAAATTCTCATCTTTTCAAAATCAATAGAAACTATAATTAATTTATTGTGCTATACAAATACTATTTCAATTAAATAAGCCTTTTTTTATTTAGTAATAATTAATAATTTAATATTTACTTGAGTTTATTAATATCAGACTAAGTCAGTTATTCATCATTACTTTAAAAATCTTACCTTTATTTTTATTGATACAAAAAGAATTAAAAATAAAGATATTAATTATAATATTAGATTTAATCATCAAATATTATTTATGAGGATCATCATTAAGAATTAAAAAAAATTCATAAAAAGGAATAATATATTAAGAATTAGATAATGGATCATATGGAGAATTTGCCAATTAGTAAGAAATTAAAATTAACTTAACAATATAAATTTAAAATAATATATTATAGTCTAAATTATGATAACATTTTAAATCTTATATCAAATTAAATCACTTATTAAATTTAAAACTTCTATCATAAGAATAACGTTGTAATATTCTTATAATTCTAATTTTACATTAGATTTGACTTAATCTATCAAGATTTAAATATTTTTGGAATCAAAATTCTATGCCTAAATCTACAATTCTAAAATAAATATATCTTTTGCTTTTTAATAATCATATTCAATATTAAACTTATAAATCTTTTCTATGTGATTTTTTATCTCATCAGTTATTTAATAGACATTATTAAATTCTTATAAAACCTGAAAGAAATGTGTTTTTAAGATTTATTAATTATTTTAATCCGTCTGTCTAACGATTTCTTGATTCAATTTTTCTAGATCTTAATCCCAAGATTCAAAAAAGGCTCCATACTTATCCCAAATAATTCTCATCTATTGTTATTTTATAATTGATTCAAAAACTAAAAAAATCTTTAATTCTTCAAAATTGTCTTTATCATTCTCAGCTTAATCAAATTATTTATGATAGCTAAATTCTTTTGATATATCATAAGTTTAAAATAATTGAATGTGGTTTTAAATTAGAGTGTATACCCTCTATCGTTTTGATAGAATACCATATTTTTCATCCTCTATACATTTAATAGTTTTAGGGTTCACTTATTTTATAATTGGAGTTTTTTATTTTTCAAAATTTTTGATTCTCTACTTTTTATTATCTATATATCTAAAATTATAATATCAAATACATGTAATTTTAATCTTAAATAAATTGAACTATTACAATTAAATCTTTTTTAAATTGATCTTTTTTATATTCCTTCAAAGTATTTACTATAAACTATAATAATTCGCATTTTTAATATTTAAATGCTTCAATTAGTTCAATAGAACAATCAAGAATATCATCAATATCTTAAAGGCAATTTATTTGATAATTAATGTCGTCAATAAGTCTATAATTCACAAAATAAATTTATTCAATAAAAAATTTAGTATGAAGGATTGTTAATTTATTATTTGTAGTATTTTTTGATTTGAGAATTGCAAATTCACTCCTTTAATCATTTTTTAATTTAATGATAATATTTTTAGGTAATAATCTTCCATGTGATATTTAAATATTTTAATGCAATTTTTATAGATGCTCTAATATTTATTATACAATAATTAATAGCTATCCTTTATAAATCTTAATAAAATTGTATTTCTAGAATTATAATGCAAATTACAATTGATTCAATCAACTGAGCCATGCTCAAACATTAACTCTAAGGAAATACATATTTAAGATGATCATTTATTTATAAAGTTGTTAAATATTCATTGTTTTCAAATTATTTTATTTTTTGAACTTAATCATCATTTCTTTTTAGTTTTTATATAATATCCAACTAATTCTACCATCCTTTCATTTATTATATATTAATTATTAATAATATAAATGTAATTTTTTTTAAAATTTCTAAAGTAAAAACAAAAACTTATTAGCATTTAATATCGGTGATAACTTTCTTGATATATATTAAATATAAATTGATGATGAATAATAAGTGAAAGAGATGAATGATTATGGAAATATAAATTTTAAATTAATTAAAATTTCTTCCATTCCTGCGACTATGAAAACTGTAAAATTGTTTTAGAGTGATGATGATAAAGTGAATTTTGTTATTAAGATAAAACTATAGTTAATAGAATGAAAAGTTGCAAAGAATTGTAAAAGGTAAATATTAATCATGTTAATTGGAAGAGTCTAAGTGAAGAGACTTAAAAATTTTGGAATACATAAGATAATCGTAGAATAATAGATTAAATCAGAACTGTGATTTAAACAATTTAAATGCTTTTTTGTGGCAGATAAATTTATTTTCTTAAACATAATTCACTTATTGATATTCTAAACACATTGAATATTGATTTATCTCTTTTAAAATTTTAATATATGTTCCCATCTTTAATGTTAAATTAATAATAATAACTCAATTCTCTATAAAGCTCAGTAATCAGACTGTTACTTTTCTTACTATAATTGTTTGTGGCAGTTAGATTTAATTGTATAAATATAGAAGTAAAAAGTATAATAGTGTGATTGCAATTGAATTAATACTTGTTCTAGACAGACTAAAGAGATATAGAAATCTTTCCTATTCAATTATTTACATCTTGATACCCCATCTTTCTCAGTCATTTATTATCCAATCAAATCTTTATTAAACAAATTTGATTGTTCTTTGATATTCGGTTGCTGGATTACTTAATCATCATTTTAGTTAAATATGCCTCACTATTTGCCATAGATAAGGAACAGCCTTACTCATTTAAGAATCATTTATATTCTCAAAAATAATTCAGAAATTCCCTAATTATCTTTCATATGCTATTGCTACTATTCCTAACTATTTAGTTTAAATTTTACTTTTACTGTGTACTATTTCTGTTTACCTATCCCCTCTCACTTAAAAACAATTTGTCAGGAGTATTAACTTCTGCATCTACACTTAATTAATAAAGTATATCATCTATCTTAAATTCATCCTTATTATAAAACACATTCAATAATTGAATTCTCTTTATTAACCAAACATTTTTGATTTTTATTATGTCATTAATTAAATCATTAAATTTAAAATATAATTTTCAATAACTTAAGTAAATATTGTTCTTTTGATCACCTTTTATTTTAATAAATATCTTATTTATATAAGAAAATTAAAATCATGATTCTTTCTTCTTATCATAAACATCAAATAATTATATTTTAATTTATTTAAGAGTTTTCTAATACCTCATATAAAATCAATAAAAATCTCAATCTTTGAATAATCTGGTAAGGGATATATTTTTTAAAGAGATAACATCTATAAGTAAAATTTTAAGAATTTAAGTTTAAAGATTTGTTTAAGGATTAATTAAGATTATATCTATTTTAAAACTTTTACTATTTTAATTGAATCATCGCTCTCTAATCATAAATCAACACAAACTTTAAATTATTTCACTCATAAATTTTTTATATAACTTCTTTATTATGAATTAATTAGAATTCCAAAAAACTAAAAATTATACACCATGAATTGGACAACTGAAAGGGATTGGGTATTAAACTTATCTGATTTTAGATTATCAATTCCATTTCCAATTTAATATCTTTAAGGATTAGAGGACTATTTATTTTCCCTAAGTTCAAAAATGATCAAATCTAATTATCTAGTTTCCAAAAAATGTTCGAAAGATATTCTTAGAATAGATCCCCCTTTCATATATAAAATTATCAGATCTCCATTACTTCTTCTTCGCATATTTCGATTTAATAATCTAACTATGTATATTTTTGATAATGATTCTTTATAACAAAAAAGAAAAACAACCATCTATCCTTTACTTAATATTATATATTTAAAAAGCCCCATCATGAAATAAATACAATCTATGATTAAATAATTTCTCTTCTTTACTCAGGTTTATGTAATATCCTATTTTTTTCTGTAAGTATATGTATTTTTTAGGCTAATATGGAAAGATCTTCAAATGATACATCATATTGGGAATATTTTGTACATAAACTCCAAGTATAATTTATTTAAATAAGTAATTATAAATCTTATTCAATAAATCTCTCCCCTAAATCTAGAGTTATTATGGTTTTTAATATCTCTCAACTAAATTCATCTTATAAAATCCTAATTTAATTTTTTTTATAAAAATTGTTCTTCATGAGATTTATCTAAAGACATTTAGCAAACCTCAAACAATATATAACAACATATAGTGATGCATAAGTTTACTATGATCAAAGCTCCTTTAAATATTCAAAATAATTAGGAGATCCAAAAAGTATAGAATCTTTTATTTCATGAAAACTACTTTATAGAAAAATATTTAAAGTTTTACGATTCGTTTTTTAATCCTAAACAAACTAATTCTTTAGCTTATTTATACTTGAATTACATAATGATTTATATTTTAATTATTAATATCTTCTGATGAACATTGTTTCCCTCTTTCAGTAAATCTGGAGTCTATTTGACTATTTAAATGTACATTTCAGAAGTTCTTATTAAAAAACTATTGATATTAATCAATCCTGTATCTTAATAAAATTATATTACCAACGTATACTATTTACTTAATTTCTATTAGATAATTTTATTTTCTTTCAAAGTTACTTCTTTGAAGTAATATATCAATTAATTAGTCAAAACAATCCTCTTTCTAAAAGGAAAATCTAATATCATCACTTGTAAATCTCATTTTAACAAAATTATATTTTAGTAATTTTGCAAATAATCAAATTTGTTCTCTTTAAGAAGTTTTTAGAAAAAATTCTGTGTGATTTAATTAAGGATTATTTTTATGATTAATTAAATAATAGAAAACTTATGTTTAATATTGATCAAAAAATTATAAAATAACAAACTCATATTCCATGTTTTAATCTCAGTAATCTAATGATAACAGAGATAGCTCTGATCTGAATTTACTGAAAAATTTAAGATAAACTTTGAGCTTAGAAAATATAATCAAAAGAAAGCATAATGAGTAGACCCAACCATTCTGCCCTTTTAATCTTTTGTTATCCTGACTTTACATTCCATAATCAGATTCCTGTATCACTATTACATGATGCCAATGAAAGGAGATCTAATTCTTTCTTTTTATTTTTGACCTTGAAATCTTTTTTCTTTATAAATTTTCAATTCCTTCCATCTCTTTTATTTTAAAGAAGAATTATGCATAATTATAAATAATTAGTTTTCTGCCAGTAATCTTTTATCATTTGATTCATTTCTTTTTGGTCTCCTGAAAAAAACTTCATATCTTCATCTGTATGAAAAATAATGCATCCTTTAATGACATGTCTTGTCTTATTAAAAATTATTTTTTCATTAATTAATATATTCTGCCAAATTCTGATCAGAACATCTTTTAAAAAAAATCTTTCGCATATAATCTTATCCTTTTTTATTTATAATGATGCATCCACAACAAAAGAATATCCTAACTATACATAATAAATCCCTTATTAATTAACTCTTAGAGTCAGACCTTTTTCTTTAAATATACTTTCAATCATATTTAGTGACCTCCTCTCATTACTCTTCTAATTTTATTAGCTACTAGCTCTTCTTTTTGTTAAACTGTCCATAATTTATGCTAATCCTACTTTTTATAAATTACTATTTAATAAAGATAGGTTACATACAAAGTTAAGTTGATGCAAATTATTCATTTATTTTATTGAATAATTACAATTGCATAATCAAACATCGTAGTATTGAACGAGCCTTACATTAAAATGGGTTCTATCAAATTTTCTTATTAGAAACCGTTCAAATTGTAAAATCTTACTATAAATTAACTAAATATGGCTATTGTTACATCAAATCTTCATTCTTATAAAAAAAATAACTAGCATTATATAAACTATCATAGTTTGGAATGGTTCCAATAATTCTACCATAATTTAATGTATAACTGATCTAAATGAGGGAGCTTATATAGGTAGTTAATAAAATATGTTAAAACAGATAACTATTAATTCTAATGAATAGCTTTTTTAGAGAAGCTTTAGGAGAGCGAAAAATTATAAAGAAGAGTAATAAATAATTATTTTCTTCGTCTAAATTAGGGTACTTATAGGTTCTCATGGGTATTCAAGCTAATCTGAAAAGATGAAAGGATAATCATCTTAATTTTGTATCTTAGAATTCCCACAACATCAAATTTATTGAAAATGAATTAAATTTCTTAAAAAACAGGACATATTAACGAAGGTAAAGATTATAGGAAAAAGTTATAGATGGACAATTAAAGAGAAAAATGGCAAATTTCAAGAGAAACATTGATCTAAAAATATAGTATTTTATTTAATCCACTGAAAAGAGAATGAAACAGAGTCAAAATTTAAAACATTCAATTAAATTCAATCGTTTAGATGGAATATAAATTATTTTAAGTTGGGAGAATAGGAATATAAATAAATGTAAATTATATATAAGTATAGGTAAATAATAATAAAATAGTCGAGGGGATCATATGATGAGGGAAAAGAATAGATTAAAGTTGGAGACTGGATAGAGTTGGATGAAGGATTTGATAAAAACACATAAGTCACTTTTCGGAGTGAATATAATTAGAAAGGTATGAAGACTGGTATCATATAATTTAATAATTAATATTATCTTATATATCATTTTTATGTTATTTTAAGTGCTAAATATTTGCAAAATTAACTAGCTATCAAGTTTTAGAATAGGATTAGTAAAAATTTGTTTTCGAGCTTAAATTTCATTATGATTTCATTAATGGATTCATTAAATTTCATTATTTTCAATTAAGCCGTTTTCATCTATAATTTTTATTTATCATTTTATCTTAATTTGCAAGAACAATCTTTTGAAGTATTGTTAATTAAATAAAGTAGTTTGACAAATTTATCATTCCATCTTAATCTTAAAGAAATAAGTAAAACATCCAAAATAGGCTATAGACCATCCCCTTCTCCATTGGATTTTAATTTATTATAAATTCTTTGATTAGATTCATAATCCTTGTTAAAAATAACTGTAAAACTCTTGTCAAATGCTTCACGATTCGTGTTTTTTGAGCTTTTGTTTTTCCATAATATTTTCAATTGTTTCTTTAAACATATTTATGTATGAAACCATACATCCTTTGTGCAGATCATAAAAATAATATTACTCAAAGAATCTATGACTACTAATAATGTATGGCAAGATTTTATTTGCAAAATTCAAAATCATTTTAAAAATAAACAAATAGGGTAATAATAATTACAGCTTATAACATTATTATATTTTCTTCTGCTTAAATAGATTTGTTCCTAAAATATATGATTAAGACTTCTTAATTAATTAATTAATAATTGAATTTTTTCTATTGTCTCTTTAGACTTTTAAACAAAAGAATTAATATCTTGATGCCACTCATTCTTCATTTTTTCTAAATCAGTTATAATAAAATCCTTATAAGCAATCCAATTATTAATTATTTTCCCTTCTAATATTGAAACTAATTTTTCTATATCAGATTAAGATGATTCCGCTAGATTGTCGAAAAAAAGTATCCTTAATTTTCTATCTCGCATTCATTTTTTTCATACTTCAAATTACAATGATTCTCTTTCAATATTGATATATTTAAAAAAAAGAAAATTATCTGAAAAGTTTCAAGGTATTTTTCATTAGTTTGGCTTAGTTATTTCTGTTTTAATAAAGATGCGCTATCTTTTGGCTCTAATAATATTTTTTACCATATACAACTAATTTAATTTAAAGAATAAATTTGAATAAAAAAACTTAGAATAATAAGAAAGTTAAATAAATTCTAATTATTAGTTACAATTGTATATAATTATTAGTAGATTAATAGTTCAATTTCTCAATAGATTTTATTAAAAAACTAGAATTGATTTTTTTTAAAAGGAAATTTGAGGCAAAGTTTCAATAATCATCAATAGAAATCAAGATCATATTTCCTGCTTAAATAAAAATTTAATTATTTGTTAAGTATATAATCTTTATTGAAACAATAGAGCTATTGGCGACTCATTATTGATCTTAGGAAGAATCTTAAGAGGGTACAAAAAGTACTTGATTTTTAGATAAGAAATTCAGACGTGTTAAATTATATCAAAAGGAATTACGGTTACGTATACCTAGAAATACAATCAAAATTAAGATTAATATATTTATCTATCATATAAATATAAATTAGCATAGGTTTGAGGCAAAATGAAGATGTTTCCAGCTTACATCGAAAAAATTGAAATTTATATTTTACCTTTAAAAATCAACTATCATAACTTCTTCAAATTAAATAAATCCATATCCTAATATAAATTTATTTCTTAATAATTATAAATTTACTAATCTTTTTTATATTCTATTTGAATAAATTAAATTTAGTTACATCACTTAATATTATGCAATACAAAACTATTTAAAATCCTAAAATAACTACATAGATGCATAGATATCCAACACTCCCTACTTTTTTTGTTTTTAATTTATTTTTGACTATTAACTTTCTTTTCACTTAATTTACCTGCGGTCAAATTTTTTTTCAAATTGATTATTTTTATTTAGTTTATTTACTCATTATTCAATCAAATATTAATTAATTAATCTAGCTCTATTTTATTTATTTACATCTAATTTAAAATTTTCTTACTTTCTTATAATACTCTCAAGAATAATAATTTATCAATATTAGCAGCAATATGCGTTGATACATCTCCTTCTTTATTATATGGATTCCAAATATCAATTTGTAATGGCTTATTTCTATGTCTTTTATGGCATAAGGCTATTCAACATTATTAATAAATTCTAATATTCTAGATTCATATTATTATCTCGAAAAAAAACCAAAATTAATTCAAACTAGTTGTTCTCTTGAAATGCTTTCAATAAATTTAATAAAATTGATGAAAAAAAGAAGTTCTTTTATTATTTTTATTCACAAAGTTAATTTCAACCTAATTTGCCAATAATACTTTGACTATCCATAGATTTTAATTTTATTGCAATTTATAAACAGTATTTACCTCTCTTTTTATCAACTTTACCAAGATTCTCACCTTGCCCAAATCTTAATAGTTAAATCTTGAAAATTCCATAATCATAAACACATATGTATGAGAGCCTTGTCAGAAAATTGTTTAATGTATTAGAACACTGATTTTTGTTATCATTAATTTTCAATGCTAAAACTTTGAATCTATATTTTGAATATAATTCTAAAATGTCCATCTAAAGTTCAAAGGTTTATTTCAATTGTAGGGTATTTCAAACAATAGAAACTATTGATTTCTTTGTTCCTAATACTAACAAGAATATTAACATAATGACATATATATCAATATTGATTAGATCCTTGTTTTAATGCATCCAAATAAATCTTCATAGTTTCTAATTTCCTTACTGATTAAAATAGCGAATCAGCCATATTTTAATAACCTTTTCGTTCGAGGACTAATTTTAATAGAAAGAGCCTCATCATATCTTGAAACATTTATCATTATCAATTAAAATAATCTTGAGTTTTGAAAGTTATTTGATCAAAGTATTTATAAATGTAAAAATATGAGACATAAAAATAAGTCCAAATATGTTGTTAAATCAAAGCAAAAACTACAAGTCTCAATAGGTATCGTTTTAAAACAGATTCCTAATCTTCAGCCTAATTTTTGAATTTATTATTATCATGAAATATATATGCACTTATCGTTGCTTAATTCTAAATAAACATCATTATTTAATTTCGATATTATTTACNATATAGGAATAATTATATTCAGCAATGTATTTGAGGAATATATTGGTGAAAATAGGAATTATTATTTCACCAATATATTACATAATATTTTCATAAAAATAATTTTCTTATTTTCGCCAAATTAGGAGATAAAATAAGTGTATTATAAGGGTCCTCTCATTCTATTGAGTTAACAGCTCAGTAAAATACCAATTAGTCCATATTCAAGTAGACTCTCCTTCCATTTCCAGGATCTTAAAAAAACTTCTCTCTATTTATATGTTATATGCATTTGAAAAATTGCATAAAGATTCTTATACTTATCCTATCTTTTATTCCTAGAAAATCGTGTAAGCTTTCACAAATTAATTGACTTAATCCAGAGATTAACCAAATTTATCTTCTCCTATATCATATTTCATTTGTCTCTACAGATATTGTGTATAAAATATCTCATCAATTTATACATGTGATTAAACGCATATTGATCTGATCTAAATACTCTATGGTATTGCTGAACAAGCATAATTCAACGGTATCAGTTTCAATTCTAAAGTATATTTTTTCTAATATATATATCTATTGTATTTTTATTAACCTTTCTTAAGTTTACTCTATTTCTTGGTATGTTTTTAACATATCGGTATAATGTCAATTAGTCTTGCTCAATTATATGACACTGCCTTATAGTAGTATGTCTTTTATCTTGTCTATTAGTTTCCTTCCCTTTTGTTATTTATTCCCTTATCTCTTTCTTTCATTATTATTATCATTTTATTTCTCTTCAAAAAAAAAGTATAAAAAGTTGATCAGAAGTTAATAATCTATTAGGATGAATCTATTCCACTTTCTTATATATTTATCCACCTTTCTCATTTCACCTGATATTATTTTATAGTTTTTAATTTTAGTTTTTTAATAGTTTGTCTCCATCTCTCCATTAATATCTATGAAATTAATAATATATTATCATATTTTGAAATCTTTCTATCAATTCCTGTACAGTATTCAAACCTTAAATTTTTAATAAAACAAATACATTTATCTTTTTAAAATCAAAGAATAGGAATGCATTGCTGTATTATATTGTAGCTTACCTGTTTCTGTTAAAAATTGATGAATTGCTATCAATATAAATAATTATAATTCTATATCTGTTTCTTTCCTTTTTTTATTTAAATCCTCCTTAGTAAAAAAGCATGCATTTACATTCATTTTTACATTAGTTTTATCCATGTGATTTAATGAAACTTGTGAATACTCTGTTTTGATTTTAAATTCCATAGTTTTTCATAGAAGGAGCACTAGTGTATAATAGAAAATTAAAAATTTTATTGTTCAATAAAGTACAATATTTTGCCTAAAATTAAGCAAATATAACCTAAATTTAACACTGCTAATGAAACATTAATACATTTTAGATATTAAGTTATCAATATTTATTCTTTGTTTCAATCAAAGGCAAGATTTTAAATTGTTAAATTAATATATACTTTTCTGATTGAAGTAATGCTTATTTTGAAATGGCTTTTTCAATTTTTAGATTTAAGTTCTTATTCTTTTAGATATTTTAATAAATCATAAAAACTTTTTTTAAAGATTTCTAAGGTTTTTAATAATATTCATTACTAACAGAATCTTATCCTTCTTTTTTCATTTATTTATATCCTTATGAATATAAATACTTTATCATCTTTTTAATTTCAATATATTAATAAAGCTATATTGGATCTATTATTTCTTAGACTGATTTATTTTTTTTGTTATTATCTTTATAAATGTAATATTTATGTAGATATCAATAAATTAAATTAATTAGATTAGTTTGATTCAATCCTGCATAACAATATTCTTACCAAAAATCCAATATAAAAGTCTCATTTCTTATCTATTTAATAAGACTAAAAGATTTCAAATCTAATCCTATGTCTTTTGACTAAAATAAAAATTAATATAAAGCCTGCAATCAAATAGCTAAGTAAACAAAAAAGAAAAATAGATATATGATGTTATTTGATATTTTTCATCATTTTTATTACTCTTAAGTTTATCTAATATACATCTTTATATTATTGTTATCCTCTATACTAATAATTTATTTAAATATATTATTTATAGATAATTCTCAATTTATTTCATAACGGAGAGATTCTAATATATTATATATATAAAATAATTTTTGGTATTTTACAATGTTAACAATTTTTTATTTAAAAAAAATATATATTAAAATCTAAAAAAATTAATCTCTTGTTTTATTTATAAATCATTCCTCGAACTCTACTAGCAATTCATCTGGTATTAGCCAGCAGGTTTATAAATTAATTATTATACCTAATTAATCTCCAGTCATTTTTTATGATTATTTTTGCATCCAATCATTAGCCCTATATATTTATTTATAAAACTTTACAAAATCAATAAATCGCCTGACTTAAATATATATTAAAGCTTAGAAATCTTATAAGGTTATATGAGAAGATGATAGTGATATAAAAAAGGGAAATGTAAATTTTTCATACTGTTCAGTTGCTTTATTATAATATCGATTTGTCACAGTAATTAAATTAAACTTATCTTAATTCTTTCCTCTGCTTCTAAAAGGTTAGAATTGATAATAATAAAATGTTTACACATTTTATGATGTTATGATGGACCATTCTGATTTTTTATTTGAAGTATATGTTTTTTCGTGATTCCTCTCATTTATAGAAACGATTTATTCATGTCTCCAATCTCTTAGTTTATCTTCAACATCAACTCAATCTAAATTTAAAAAATTTTCTTCCTATATGTGAACATAGAAATTAACTCTTAAAATTCTCTTCAGCATCCTTAACTACTTTTCACACCTCAAATACATATACTGATTGATTAGCTTTTAATCCTATCTATCTCATTGGAATTGATGGATTCAAATACCCAAATTATCTATGGATTTAATTTCTATAAATTTCTGTCAATTCAAATCATCATTAAGAAATCCCAGTCACCTTTTCAATTGCAATGAATATTTCTTTCAACAATAACCTAATTAATAAAATCAGCTGTAATGCGGATAAAACATATATGTATTACTTTAATATAAAATCATATTTTTATTTGATATGATGAATGGAATAACAGAAATATAATATTTACTAAAGCTGATATTCGTATTTCAATATAATAGCTGGAAAGATTAAATAAATTTTAAGTGATTTAAAAAATGAAATTTCAGCATCTTGTTTAATTGAACATGGTTATTCAATTATAATTTGTACAGAAGAAGGTGATTTATATAAAATTTCATTAAAACATGGTGAAATATTATAATAATGGGAATCTTTTTATTAAGATGAAATCATATCTATTTGATATGATGAAAATTATAAAATGTTACATATTGTTTCAATAAAGGAATTTTAAATATTTACCTTTAACTCAACTAAATGCTTGTTAATGTAAATTTTATAAAAATAAATGGCCAATACGTCAACTTACAGTAAATATTAAGGTTGATTAGTTGTTAGTTATGAGATTTTATATAAATTTGAAATTTGGAATATTATTGTGTATCAATATAAACATATATAGAAAATAATGCAATGGTAACATCAATGATATTTTGTGATTGTCTTCCTCTTTTAACTATAGAAACTAATAAAGCTGATATATTTATATTTTAATTAGTTTAAAAGAATGATAAATTATGATGTCCATTAGACATTTAGATACACTAAAAGCTGTTTTGATATAAAATTTAAAAAGTGCGTATCGAGAGAGTATAAGTATTATGAATAATTTATTCTCGAAAAAATAATTAGAATTAATTGAATTATATAATGAAGCATATATAGAATTTAAACGTTTAAAAAATAATAAGTATAAATTAATGACTCATAGATCTTTTGCATCTCATATATTAAAATTATATCATTAAGAAGAACTTAAATTATCTATTGCAACAAATAGAGAATCAATTTAGTATTTAATATGACTCAACTACTTGAAAAGAAAATATTACATATAAAATTTAGGAATGTAGTTGATTAAATTATTTCAAGACATTATAATCCTTTTAGAGTTGTTTATAATAATTTATAAGGATAATTAATTGATAATTTTTTAATAGTCGAAAATAGATTGATTAAAGAGAAAGGAGATAAGAGAGAATCTAAATTTGAATAAAGTAGTAAACAAAATAAAAATTCCAATCCTTTAATTAAATTGAGTATTCTAAAAGGATGAAAAGATAATCCTGAATTAGATATAACTCATACATTAAATTCAATATTTTCATTTTATAAATAACTTGAAACAGCAGATTAAATACTTAAGGATATAATAATTTAAATATTTTTTTTTAATTGATGCATATGAAATATTGTTTCAAAAAAAACATAACTCTTAATATATCGATGTATAGATGATATTAAAAAAAATTAATATTGCTTAGAAAATCCTTCTTTCTTCTTTAATTAATATAATGTTAATATTATTCAATATCTTCTTCTTTTTAAACAACCAACTTTATCTTAGTCATTTAACAGATTTTATCATATATTGAAGCTTGTTTAAAAAGGTAATCCATATTTTATTAATTTTATAAGAAAACTCTGTTGAGATCAATTACAATAGATTATTGGAATGATGATAATTATTAATGATGTATTAAGTTGAAAATCAAGAGTAAAGTATCGTTTATTCAATGAAATGGAATTTAAATTAAAGTTTCTAAAAAACAGAATTTGAATACTGCTTATAATTTTAGACTCAATACAATGTTTAAAATTCTTATTTTACAACAACCTTATTAAAAATAACTTTTCCCAATAGAATCAAAAAGAAACCATCTATCCAACTATAAATTAATCGCTCAATTCCTAACTGTTAAACTTAACAAAAAAACTTAAACCCAAATGAAATAATGTCAGCAATGGCAGAAAAACTTTTTGAATGAGATAAGCTTAACAATAAAGTAATAACCAATATGTATAAATTTACTAGTAAAGTATTATGATATATTTTAATATTAATCAAGTTAAAGATGAATTTATAATAAATTTAATTACATTTTTATGTTATATGCTTTTTATAGTAATCTTTATTTTATTATAATTCTTAAATCTAACCCTCTAAAAAATATACTTCATTCAGTCTGTTTCTCTTCTGATGGAAATATTTGAGCATTTGGTAGTCATGATAAATCTATACATTTATGAGATATTAAGATTTAACCCTACTAGTGTGACCAATTAGCATATTTTTTTTTTCTGTCTATACATCCCATAAATGTATAGACTTATCTGCCTTCTGTCTTTTATACCGATTACCACCACCAGATGCCCATATCTTTCAATTAGGAGAAATACGAACTGAAAATACTCAATCATTATGACCATTTAATTTATTTCCCTCCTTAATCTTTATATTCTTCTATTTATAGTTAAACATTAGAACTTCATTTAAATTTACTCCCTTAATGTCTAAAACATCAAATTCTAATCTATTGAAGCTGCATCTATCGAAATTTGCTCCAATTAAAGAATAATTCTAGATTTTAATGTCTTCTCAATTCTAATTACTTAGATCAACCTTCATTTCCACTTATAAGTTTAATCTATTAACGAAAAATTTTTAAAATAGAAAATATTTTCTTTTTTAGATATTTTAATGATTAGTTTTTCTCTAATTTTAAAAAAATTTCCTTGAAATAATATCCTTTTTGTTCCATTCATGTTGAATAATATTGAAAATAGCATTTCTTAATTTCATAATGTTTTTTATCCTAAGTATTCAAAATGCTTTTGATTTTCCTATTTTCAAAAAGAGATTCTAAAATATCTGAACTTTTTTGATTTCCAAGCATATATATTATGTCACTATCTGCTTAGAAATTAATATCTTTTAAGGAAGTTAAAATCTTATATAAATCTTCATGCCTTTCATATTCAGACTTTTTCAAAAGCAATAACCTAAATAATTTTATTAAATAACATTCCAGATTGATAAAGGTGTAGCTAATGCGCTCAAAATAAAAAAAAAATTTCTGGATATGAAAAACAAATTTCTAATGGTTCTTAAAACTAATAGCTCCTTTCTTTATATAATTTCCTTATTTTATGATAATTTTTATATTTAAGATAATTATAATATATTAAAAGCGCATATTATTTGATATCCCTGTCATAATAAGGTTTTTTTTAGATTAATTATTGCAAAGACTTTATATTATATATTAAATATTCTCAAATATAATAATATTAATCTGAAAAATTATTAATGCTTGAGCTTTATTTAGATGAAAGCATTAGTTAATAAAACTTAAATAAATGAAGAACCTAATGATTAAACAACAATAAAATTAAACCCAAAATTATAAATTTTTAATAATAATAATTTCAACAAAATCAAGATCACCTTCTCTTTATAATAGATTTGGAAATAATTATTTAATTTGTAGGCGCAAGAACACCAAGTTATGGTAGGTATAATCTAATTCTATAAGATCGCATCATCAAAAATTCAATACATAAAAGACAAGATGCCAAATAAAAACTGGCATTTTAAGATCCAAATAGTATGCTAGAAAATACTTTGCTTAACAAATATATTTAAAACATGGTTATTATTTATAAAGTTGTATACTTTTTATTATACATTCTAAAAATAACAAAAATATTCCTTACTCATTTCATTTTTCAATTGCTTTTATGTAATCTATCATTTCTCTTTCGAAATCGTATTCTAATTATTCTCTAACATTTTAAGATTATTTATATTATTCAATCATTAAAATTGTAAAAGATTATTTCCAATTGATTTTTTTAGATGAATATTTATTTGTTTTTGATCACGAAGAATTTGTCAATGAATTATTAACAAAACTATTTAAGGTGATGTTAGTGAATCCAAAAACTCATAGAAATTAGGAACGAAAATACAATCTTGTAACAAACTTGACATAATTTAATTTGCACTTAGAACCAAAAAAATATTAAAACGTACACATCACTACATTTTAGCATGTACATTAAATTGCTAAATATATTGGTCTATATAATGTTTTTCGCTAAATACTAATTTTTTGCAATACTTGTGGAATTCACTCTTAATAGGAAAATATTTATCTGATTTTTTTAAAAGTATAATTTTTTCAATTATACTTAACAATAAGATAAAATTATTCCTTCATATAATTCGAATTCTTTTAAAATTTTGACATCTATTCTAAAATATTATTTGTATATTATAATCTTAAGAATTTACC